AGATCTCTGAAACTGCTGGTTATGTTCGTATCACCCACCGTCTTATAAATCAGTAAAAAAACATGCAGTGAGAACTTAGAGGGACAGGTATTTTTGCAAGCTCCCGCTTTCAGTTCCCCCTATTTTTCTTCCTGTTCTTTTCTTTACCTCAGTTCTGTGGTTTGGTTTTCAATGTTCTGCTTTTATGGCAACCTAAATCAGAATTATTCAGAAAACAAACACTTGTGAAAGCCTGAGGCACTGTTAAAATGTTGATTCTACCCACTCCCACTTTTACCCCTCCTGCTCCTTTTCTTGCTGTGTTCAGCTATTTTCTGACCATTTTCCTAACTGCTAATCCTTAATCAGCTGTAGAAGCAATACAAAGCATGTCCTGTCCTAGGGGCTAATCATGTTGTTACTGCAGAGTTCCTAGCCATGGAAAGCTAATATGCATTAACATAAACAGTATTTCAAATGAAGTTTGTATGTTTTCATGCCTTTTTTTAACTGAAATTCATGCTTGTTAAATTGTTCGCTATTCTGTGTCTCAGGTGTGTGCATTTTGTAAACTGTATTATCTTTATATTTGACTTTAGATTTGTGCTCCTGTTCCTCCAGCCTGGTTGTAACTCTCTGGCTGTTGATGGCTAACTTGATCCCCTTGCTGGCAGGATTTCTTCTGTGTGTATGGAGTTAAGTGTGGGTAAAAAAGGTACTTACTCCAAGACTTCACCACCATGCTGCATTCGTCGGGTCAAGAGCGCTACCATAGTGCAACATCTTTGCAGGCAGCAGTCTCACGCTGAATGACTGCCTTTTGGTCTATCTCACTACGGCTTGTAGCAAAGAAGGTGCTGACAACAGCAGCTAGCTTTTAAGAGGAGACAAAGTTTACTATATTTTCTCAATAAGTGCCAGTATTTTGTGAATTCAGACCTTTAATTTTAATAGTAACAACTTTTGAAGATCAAATGTGCTAGCTGCATTAGGCAACTGGCAACGCAATCATTAGTGATATACATGTGAAACCGTAAGAATGCTTCTTGGATTTTGTTTTGCTAAATCCTCTGTGTAAGTGGTAGCAGGGTGTTTGGGTTTTTTTTTGTTTTTTTTAGCATCCTCAAACTGGAGATATACCTCAACGTTTCCGTAGTCAAAAGCCATGTAAAAAATCAGTTGCCATTGCTGCTAGGAACCTAGACTGAAATGGGCTTTTACTAACTCTTCAGCCACCTGCAGAGAGAGAGACACACACAGACACACGCACAAACACACCCAATTGATATTCTGGCATTGCTTCCAAAATACTGTTCCGTACTTTGAAACTTATGATGAATTGATGGTATATTTTTCATGAAATTGGTTTCTTTACATTTATTGAAATATTTTAGGAATCCCACTTCAGCTTTTTGAAGCCCATTCTCGTTTAATGTGTGTCAGTTATATGAAAATTGATGCACTAAATATTTGAAACTTGCCAGGGTAACTTTAAGAAGGGGGAACACTGATGCACTTTTGATGGGATGGTCAAAATATTTCACTTTACTACAGTAGTTTTTGTCCTTTACCTTCAATACCAGTGTTCAGATTGCAGGATCGGGGTGAGGTGGGTGGTGGTGGTTGTTTTTAGACACTTCATGGGTGTTCAGCAGTGAAGTAATGAAGAGTTCTATTCTGCATAGATAATGTGAACACACAACATCTGTACTCTAATTTGACTTTCCTCTGAGGGGAAAAATAATAGTGATGGCAACTGTAGTAAACAAAGACAATGTTGACTATTTTTAGGCCAAAACAAGACTAACACACTAAAAAAACTATAGACTGGCTCTTCTGATGGACATGCGGCTGATCTCTAAAATGATACTGGATATGTGAAGATTTAAAATATTGCTATGAAAACAGCTGTTATTTAAAACCAGAGCATACTGTGCTATAAAGAAGCACAGGTTAGCGGTGGACAAAATCTACTAGATTTAGGGAAATGTGTAGAACTTCTGTCTCTACAGGATGTCTGCTCCTGGGGGCACTTAAAGATGCAAACTTGCCCATATTTGAGCCCTTTGGACTTACAAATAAGTCTTGCTTGCCCTATTCAGTTTGTTCATGGTGATAGTTCTGATTCTCAGAAAACTGTTTCCATTACAGATGTGAGGGGGCAGGAGTGCCCAGCATTTCCAGCATATACCAAGACGAGGAGGATAAATATCTTTTAACCTCCCTTTAAGTTGCTATAAGGCAATGGATTTGTCAGGGACTTGCTCCCTCTTTGCAAGGAAAAAACGGTGGAGATAGGGAATAAAACCCTTTGGTCACAGATGAACTTGTTCTTTAATAGGGAGAGTTTTCATTATGGTTATATGCATGTTAAAGAAAAATCTCTTTATATGGCTGCTGCATTTTTTTTAACATTATCCTTGTAAAAATAGAATTTTTGTAATGTGGCCAATGTCACTGAACCCCCAGTTTGCTACACAAGTTAAAACTGCCTTAAGGAATCACAACTGAGAATCCTTTGCATTGGGCTAGTTCCAAGTTATACACGCTGCTTTAAATTATATGAGGCCTAAATTAGCTTTAAATATGTGTTTTAAAAAACTATAAGAATTAGGGATAAAATGTTTTAAACACATACAAATTTGGATTAAGACACTACAAATAATGAACAGACTGATACATTTTAATATATACACAATGCAATGATGGTGTGAAATGGTTCCTTGAAAACGCATAATACTTTGAGAAGATTTCTTAGGCCCCAGAGGTTGATATTGTATCTTTTGTCTGTCGTGCAATAATAGAATTTAAGTAGCATCACTCAACAATGATGCTTTTTATACTTGAACATTTTCTTGGTTATTTTTTCTTAATAATGTAAAATATTTGCACTGTCTCAACTTTCTGATTAACTTTATAGCTGTTAAGCATTTTTACCAGTGTTAATTTATTGCATTTGACATTTGATATCCTGATCTCCTGTCTGTACAAATGTGAAACTTGCTATCTTTGAATGAATAACCTTGTCTTCAACAGAACAGTTATCTATCCCAATTGCTTAGTCTTTTCTCTGAGAATTTTAGTGAAACATGTAAGAAAGCACTGACTTTTCAAGTCACCTTACATCTGAATTGTGTACTATGTAGTAAGTGAAAGTGGCCATTGTGCATTGTAGAGGGAGAACTCACCTACCTGTCAGAACTACAAGGCAGACTTAACAGTACTCGCTGAGTAGTTGTTTTAATGTATCCGGTGAAGTAAAAATATAATTGCCTTAATAATCTGAGATTTCAGTCATGATTTCTGTGAGCACATGCAAGCAGTGAAGAATCCAGCTGTGAATGGTAGAATTGGAAGTGACTTCCTGATTTTTGTAGAAAAAATGTATTTGAACAGGTTAAATCAAACACTTGATATTTTTATATTAGTAAGCTAATGACAGGTAGCCCCATTGTCGTAGCAATGTGATGGCTGATAGATGTAATGAGGTCACCTTTAAGGTGAGAGTGAAGGCTGTCAATACAATGGAAATATCCCTTTCCATCTCAGAAGAAGTAATTGAATAAAACTGCCTACCTCAGTTTTCTATACTGTCTTAAATTTAAATATTCAACATACTGTTAACTTCCAAATCTCAAGCTGAATAAGTAAAAACATCTCAGGTTTTTAAGAGCAGAATTAGAATAGGAAGCATAAGCCATTTCAGAATATGCAGCTGAAAGTCCTAGTTTAAACAATCATTTAGGCAGCCTTAAGTGTTGTCTACCTAACGAAATTGTCAGTGTTATTTTTCTAAAATAACCTGTAGGAAGCTACTCTCGTTTCCTAGTTGCACTTATTCTGTGATGTACTTATTATTGCATCATGTGTGTATTATTTCCAGCTTTCTTCCTGGACTAGCAAATAAGTTACTTGACTTGCTGTAGCTGTATTTTCTTGATTTATATAATATATAGAATATTTATTTTGTAAAACCCTACGTGTTTGCTTATAGGGAAAAAAACTCTCATTTCTCAAAGGTGTTTCACAATTTTTCCCCTAGTTTTAATCTAAAATGGTAACGGAAAGTTCAGGTGACCTAGATTTGAGGAACACAATAGTGGCAGTGGTCTCAAAGAATTACAGGGAGAGAGGATAGTTCTTGGTCAGACAAATTGTATGCAATGAGCAAAATGCTCCAAACAACCAGGCAGTTCTGTTACTTCAGTGTTCTGCTCTCCTAAATGAGCTGACTCCTGGGACTTCGGAGTCTGGATCCATTGCAGGTATCTAAGGAGAATTTTGCTCCAGTGTCTTACTTGGCTGTTGGTACAATGTAGTTTATCTTTTTGATGTGCACTAGTAAACTAGGAACAAATATCTAATCTAAAATCATGTGTCAACTGTCCTTATTTAGGAGGGAGAGTGCCTATTTTCAAATATTTTTTGTCCTGAAATTTTTTCTACACTAATGTATCTCAGTGCAGCTGGAGAGGTATATGTTTGTTCTTTTCCAGTTCATATTTATGTCAAGTTGGTGAACTGTGGCTGAGCAGGATAAGGCCCTGACTCTGCAAAATGAGATGGATGGGATGTTGTGGGTGCAAGAGTCTGTATGTATATATCGCTTTGCAAGGTTAGGGTTCGTGTGCATACACTGAGTGGTACGTTTGTGTGGTGTATATAGTATTGGGCCTATGTGTACAAATGTCACCTTTTTGAAAAATAAAGCTTATTCTGAAAAAAGAATTATTTTGGATGAGAACTGACTGTGACCTTGAGTATGTGTTTCCTATTTTAGTACAGAATATAAATATACAGTATGTTTTACATTGTTTGTTTTTTTGTGATTGGAATTGAGGATTAAGGGCTAACTTTTGTTTGTGCTGTTGCGAGTGGAAGTTTTTGTTTAAAAGTGTTAGGTACTGCCATCTTAAAATGAAACAAATCCTTGTACGTCAATAAACACCTGTCTAGAAAATTGTATCTCAGTCTTGCCCTTCTCTGAGAATGACACACACGTTCTAAATTCAAACACTAAACACAATCAAAAAGTAATTTATGTATTAGAATTGTCCATTATTTTAACAGTGCCTTTGAAGAATGAAATTACAGCAAATATTTATAAATTTAGCAGAGTTAAATTCCTTTATACTTATATGAACTCATACTTGATAAACATTGGCTAAACCTGAAAATGCTACATAATATTAAAATGACTTCAAATGGAGTTTGGCCTGACTAAGGGAAGCAAAGAAAGGGCCCAAAACTTCAAACCCATGATTGTAATTTCCATTTAAAAATCATGCAACACATTTACATTCAACCCCAAAAAGACATAAGTTGAAGTTTTCAAAGCTGTGTAGGGGATTTAGGCATGCAGTTTCCATTGAAGTGGATGGGAGTTGTGTGGCTGTTTCCTGATCATTTTTAAGGCTGAGATTTTTGGGTTTTTTCCCATGTTTCTATATTTTTAATCTGAACAAATCAGTGTCAAGGATGTAACAGGGTTCTTGTAAAATGTGGAAGAAAAATCTTTCTAATGTAAAAATCTTTTACTTCAGTCTTTGTACAGAGAATTTATAAAACAGTAACTTATGCCCTAGCATGACTGTGAAATAGAGGCAATTTTGTGCAAAGAGTAGGTTACATCCTTTCTTAATGTACGTATCTTTTCAGAAGGATAGGAATACAAAAAGTACCACAATTCATTCATAGATGATGTTTTCCAGGGTTAAAAGCCAAGTATGCAAAGTTACCCAAACAGTTATAAAACGGTGTTCAAAAAGTTAAATTACAGCCTTATAATCTGGCTGCCAACTGTAGCAAAATTAAAATATTGGTTTGTGAGTCAGCATGGGTGTCATTTGAGATTCAGAAGTGATGTAGATGTTTTTGAGTGTAGACTGCATGATGGAAATGGCTAGCTTAATCTCTAAAAGCAGTAGGGGTGTAGCTGCAATGCTTGCTATCTACTGGATGATGCATGAAGTTGCACTGGCCTCTAATGGAACCTCCTACCTGGAGTTAAAATGCAGCATACTCATTCACCAATGTGCTTACATAGGAAGTCTGCGTTTATAGCAATTATTTTGTGCATGTGTAGCAATGAAGCATCAAGGGCTTTAACTTCACTGTCCAAATTCTACCCCTCTTTGCACGCTTGTAACCCATTGAAATCAACAACATTGCACATGGTATACATCAGGGTGAAGCTTGGACCCTAATTATCAATCTTAGATATATTTTACTATCTTGACTAATGGTAATTACTAGGCATCAATTGTTGAGAAATACTGACGCTAAACAGATGCATTTTGCAGTGTTATTTAGTCCCTCCAAAATCCTTGTACTTTAATGAAAATCCCTCAGCAGGACACTTGGGAGCTTCAGAGGTAAGATTTTCATTATAGTAAACTGCTTTGTTTGTGTCTACTGAACAGTCAGTCATATTTGAATAGAGTAACAATTACCCTTTTCCACAAGAGTTTTCTATTAGGAAATCAAATTGAATAAAAAGAATGAGGAGTACTTATGGCACCTTAGAGACTAACAAATGTATTTGAGCATAAGCTTTCGTGGGCTAAAACCCACTTCATTGGATGCATGCAGTGGAAAATATAGTAGAGAACATGAAAAAAATGTGTGTTGCCATTCCCACTGTAATGAGAGTGATCAATTAAGGTGAGCTATTAGCAGCAGGAGATAATAGTGGGTATGGCAACACCCATTTTTTCATTTTGTGTGTGTCTATCTTCCTACTGTATTTTCCACTGAATACATCTGATGAAGTGGGGTTTAGCCCACAAAAGCTTATGCTCAAATAAATTTTAGTCTACGGTGCCACAAGTACTCCTCGTTCTTTTTTGCTGATATAGACTAACATGGCTACCGCTCTGAAACCTGTCAAATTGAGCAAGAAATTGTATTGACACCTTGCTTTTGAAATGCAACTGTATTTTAGGGGAACCGTATAAGCCCATGTTTGTCCACTTAACAACAGTGAAGTAGTCTTTTCTTAAGGAAAAGTTAACTAATTTTGATTTTATTTTCCAAGTGTTTTTATCCAAATTACATGCATCTTTGCACTGTTTCTGTATGAGAAATATTAGTGGGCAAAGTGATAAGTTGCACAAGAATTAGATTTGACGCGGGTGCGGGGCAAATGAGTTTGGGGACTGCTTATAATTAAGGCTCCGATTTAGTCATGGAGGTCACGGAATCTGTGACTTCAGCCTGCGGTGATTGGGAGCTGCAGAGTCCCCACCGCCTGCTGGCACAGGGAGTTGCAGGATACCTCCGCTACCTCTGGAGGCCCTTGGAGCACCAAGCCACTGCAGGCAGCCAGTACCCTACAGCTCCCAGCCACTGCGGGCAGCATGGGAACCCCGGAACTCCCTGCCACTGCGGGCTGGGGAACAAGCTCCCTGCTGGCAGTGGCAGGAAAACCACCGAGCTCCCAGCCTCCGCAGACATTGCAGTGGGGGAACCAGAGCTCTTGGTGTGCTGTGGCAGAGGAGCCCTGAGCTCCCTGCCACCCCAGCTGGTGGGGTAACCCCTGCAGCTTCCAGGTGCTGGGGTGTATGTGAGGGGAGCCCCCCCGCTTCAGGCCAGGGCTGGGGGGGAACCCCCGAGCTCCCTGCCGCTGCAGGCCAAGGGGAACCCTCAAGCTCTCAAACACTGTGGGTGGTGGGCAGCTCTGGGCTTCAGTGGGAAACTCAAGCTCCTGGCACCTGGGGTACACCAGGAGCTGCAGGCAGCAGGGGTACCCTACAGCCACCAACTGCTGCAGGCAGCTCCTAGCGTCTGCACCGCTGCCCCACAGCATGGGGATCTGAAGATCCCCATTTTGTTAGGGATATTTTTAGTAAAAGTCATGGACAGGTCATGGCTTCCATGAATTTCTCTGTTTTGCCCATGACCTGTCTGACTTTTACTAAAAATATTCATGACAAAAATCTTAGCCTTACTTACAAGCAACAGGAAAGAAAAGAATTCTCCTAGGGCTGATTCTGAAAAGACCAACCAAAGTCAAACCCATATTAAGGCTATTAAATCCTGTATCCATCCTACTTCCTTGGAGATACTGAAATATTCAGGCTGACGGTACAAAAAAAAAATTCTACATTGTCTTTACAAGAAGAGTTATGTGCCACGTGACTTATTTGGATGCTTTTGTTTACTACCAAGTAGAGAAGCCCAGAAGAGATGAATCCACATCCGGATGAGCCACATGAAATTCTTATGTGTGTTGTGGATGATTCTGTAGACAAGAGATGAATTCGTGGACCAACCTACCCTCATAGCAGATTTGGTAGACAGTGGAGAACAATGGAAACCTAAAAGAAGGATGAAATTAAAGTGGTTTTGAAAGTTTACTTTATGCAAATAGCTCCAATATTCTTGACACCTATGAAAATGGGGGCTGTGGGAAAAGTGCCACCTTTTTCTGCTTTAGGATGTAAAACAAAGTTTGAAGGGTTTTCATTCTGCTTTTTTCTCCTCCTTTCACAATTTCCTCTTCTCTCAAAATTTTAAGCCTATCTTGTGTTTTTTCCAGAGATTGTCTGGATAACTAGAGAGCTAGTTGTATGATTAAGACATTAAGTACAAGGAGAATGAAATTGAGGAAAGGATGTTACTGTTTATCTTGAGGTAGGGAAGGTGTATGCCTATTTAACATTAATGCCTGACAAACAGGTGGGAGAAAGCTGTATGGAAAAAACTCAACAACCCATGCTTTCAATTAAGGACTTGAAAAGCTCTTTTTTTTGCTCCCTACTCCTCCCAAGGAGTCTTCCAGGAAAGACAAGAAGTGATATTCCTGATATTTCTAAGGTAAAAGCATGCAGAACTGAACCTCACATGGTTTTTCCTTACATAGCATAAAAAAATTTTTTTTTCCTTTTACTGATTGCCTTTTAAGTTAGATAATTGTACAGTCAAGAATGAGAGAATGGAATTGATTTGAAAATAATTGTATAATTTAGAATATCATTCAAGGGGCACTGTCTGGTCAATTATAGGTTCTGTCAAAACAAGCTTTTATGAAATCTAAACCCAACAGAAATTTTTCCATAATTATTACAATTCCAATGGATGAGGTTTTTTAAATGCATCCTTAGTGCTTCCACCCTAAATACTGCAGCTGTGTGATAGTGTAAGAGAACCTGAAAGACTCATCTACTTTCACCATGCAAGTTGAAACAGAAGCAAAGGCTAATTTTAATTCAAATTTTTCATTTGTAATCTCAAGTGCATATATAGAATCATAAAAATGTGGGGCTTGAATGGACTTTGAGGTGTCAGCAAGTCCAGCCTCTTGGGCTGAGGCAGGACCAAGTAAACCTAGACCATCCGACAGGTGTTTGTCCACCTGTTCTTAAAAACTTTCTATGATGGGGATTCCACAGCCTCCCTTGGATGCCTATTCCAGAGCTTAACTATCTTTATAGCTAAAAAGTTTTTCCTAATATCTAACCTAAAGCTCCCTGGCTGCAGACTAAGCCCATTACTTCTTGTCCTACCTGCAAGGACATGTAGAACAACTGATCAGTGCTCTTTATGACAGCCCTTAACATATTTGAAGACTTAAGTCTTCTCAGAACTAAACATGCCCATTTTTTTAACCTGTCCTCCAAAATCAGGTTTTCTAAACCCTTTATCATATTTGTTGCTCTCCTATAGACTCTGTCTCCAAATTGTCCACGTTTCTTAAAGTGTGGCACCCAGAACTGGACCCACTACTCCAGCTGAGGCCTCACCAGTGCCCAGTATAGCAGGACAATTACCTCCCATGTCTTATATATGACACTCCTGATAATATACCCCAGAATATTAGCCTTTTTTGAAACTGCATCACATTGTTGACTCATAATCAATTTGTGATCCGTGATAACCCCCAGATCTTTTTCAACAGTACTATACCTGGCCAGTTAGTCCCCATGGTGTAGTTGCACATCTGCATTTTCCCTTCATATGTGAATTATTCTGCATTTGTCTTTATTGAATTTTATCTTGTTGATTTCAGACCAGTTCTCTAATTGGTCAGTTATTTTGAATTCTAATCCTGTCCTCCGAAGTGTTTGCAACTCCACCAAACTAAAAAATTGAATAATTCCAGGCTCAGGACTGAGCACTGTGGAACCCCACTAGATATGCCCTTCCAGACTGACAACGAATACTTGATCACTCCTCTCTGAGCATGGTCTTTCAACACACTGCACCCACCTCACAGTAATTTCATCTAGACAATTTTTCCCCCATTTGTTTAAGAATGTCATGTGAGATTATATCAAAAGCCTTCCTAAAATCAAGATATCACATCTACTGCTTCCTTCCCCATCCACTAGGCCAGTATCCCTGTCAAAGAAGGAGATGAGGTTAGTTTATTTGTTCTTGACAAATCTATGCTGGCTATTCCTTATAAACCTATTATCCTCTAAGTGTTTACAAACTGATTGTCTAATAATTTGTTCTAGTATTTTGGTATCAATGTTAATCTATAATTTCCCAGGTCGTCTTTGTTCCCCTTTTTAAAGATAGATACTATGTTTGTCCTGCTCCAGTCCTCTGAGACCCCACCAGTCCTCCATGAGTACTCAAAGATAATTGCTATTGGTTCCAAGATTGCTTCAGCTGGTTCATTAAGTACCCTAGGATGAATTTCATCAGTCCTTGCTGACTTGAATACCTCTTATTTAAATATTCTCTATTCTAACCTGTTTTCCCTATTTTGGACTGTTTTCCTTCCCCTTGTTAATACTGTGAGTATCTGGTCATTAACCTTTTTAGTGAAGACTGTAGTCCAATAGGCATTAAACACCTCAGCCTTCTTGATGTCATCAGTTATTAGCTCTTCTTCCCATCTAAATAGAGGGCATACACTTTCCTTCATCTTTCTCTTGATCCTAGTGTATTTAAAGAACTTCTTGCCTTTTATGCCCCTTGCTAGATAACTCATTTTATGCCTTATCCTTTCTCATTGTCCATACACACTTACACTGTTCTTTTGTACTCCTTAGCAATTTATCCATGTTTCCACTTTCTGTAGGATTCCTTTTTGATTTTTCAGGTCATTAAGGAAACTTTAAATGGCTCTGTACTCCAATAACATCCCTGTGTGCCACTAAAATGCTCCTAGTGCATAGAAATTTTTCAGCACACAAGCAGTCTTTGCTTAAAAAGATTATCCTGTATAGCATACTAAGAGAAGGCACTAGTTAAAGTTCATATTGTAGCTAGTATCAGTGAAAGGTGTAACAGTGATAGCAGAGCATGAAATCCTTATTTATCTACAGACCAGGTACCCAGGCTGCCTCCATCACTGCATCGCAAACTTTCCTTTTTTTGGAAAGGACCATTGCTAGGTGAAGTAGTTCGTTCTGCATACCATTCAGCCTTTGGTCTGTTCTGTTGATACTGCCAATAAGCATGCAGGCTAATGTGAACAGTGATGGTGCCTTGATGTGGACACCTGTCCTTATGGACATGGACAGACTATATACTAGTTTCATAAAGACCTTTTAAACAGTTGTGAACTAATAATTTTTGCTCATAACAAGTCTGTCAGCTTGATATTCAAAAAAATCAAACTACTTACTTATCAACCATGTTTTTCTGTTTCAGCATCTTATAGACCTCAGCTGAAGTCTGAGGACCTTGTAGCTTTTGTCCATTCAGCATCTCTTTTTCCAGCTCCTCAATTGACTAGAAGAAATGACAGCAATCTCACAAACAGAATAAAAGGAAGGTGCATAACAGAACAGAGCGTTTCAAGTAGAAAGCTTCTGAAATGTTAGACAAAAGAATCCAGTGATTAAACTGCAGCCTAGGCCTGCCTTGTACTTTTGTTATAGGCCAAATGATTAACGAACAGAAGGTAGTGGGAGGCTTGAACAGATTCTTTCTCGGGTCCCTAAGCCATGGCTGAGGCATACAGTCCATATTATATAACCGTTGTTTTTAAAAGCAGAAGGAAGCAGCACTGGATGTGCTGTTCCAAGCAGGAAGAGGATTTTCACTTGTTCTAGAATTGTGGGATACTATTCTCTCTCCTTCCAATTTATTTTAGTCCATCTTTGTTCAGCCTAAAGCTTTCAACTCTTGGGAAGTGCTTGGAATAATATGTGCTACACCATTCCCTGAAACACTCTCCTTGCCAACTGCAAAGACTAAGAGTCACTTCTGAACCCTCCTCTCTTAGATCATAGAGCCAGTGTTATCCTTTCATCAGGAAGATGACTGTTGATGTGTGTGTAAAACACAATTTATTAACACATGGGCTTATGATGCCTCAAAAATGCTTCTTACTTTTCCTGTCCGCACAAAGGCTTCTGCTACTTTCCTGTTGCGTCCTCCGTAGCATGTAGTGATTAGATCAGCAACACCGCAGCTCTCCAGAAAAGTAGCTATTGATACCGGACCCCTGCAGAACAGCTTTGCAAAGGCTACCATCTCCATGAGGCCCAAACGAATGACTGCTGCTTTAGTATTATCACCAAAGTCCAGTCCATCGCAGAATCCAGCTCCTACTGCTACTATGTTCTAAAACCAGTTTTATGGAAAAGGTGCAAAAGAGAGAAGGAAACCAAGTTAGATAAGACGTGTAGTTCTTTAGTGGCATATGCTAACTGTAAGTGAACACAATAAGTAAACTTGTTTTTACCTGAGTGCTCTCAGGTATTCCAATTCCAAATAATTGTGAGCATACTTCATAGCACTTAAATGTCTAATTGCTCCCAAATGTCAACTAGTTGGACTTCTAAGGCCTAAAAAAATGTTCCCATAATTATTTCTGGGTGCAAAATGAAGGGCAATGTGTTAAAAAATTTGGCCCATATAATGCATATGGAAATACTTTTTTTTCCCCTTGGTGCCAGGTTGGTGTCAGGATCCAGTGACCCTTCTGTTCTTACCTTTAATTGAATCTTTGCCTAGCCTCAGTTTCTACCACCCTTGGTTGCAGGAGCTCATGCTTCTTTAGATCAAACTTAGCCCATGCCTACAGGAACATTTTGCTCTCCTTACAAAAGTTTGAGAGGTTCATCGGGCATCGTAATCAAATACTTAATCAAAAATATCCCACACTTTGTATTCAGACAGTGTAGTTCACTATAGATTGTAGTAGTAGGTGTTAGTGTGGCTACCTTTAAGTTTGAAGTCCCAGAAATGCTCATGCCTCAGTTTTTCTCTCTACACCATTACTGCTGAAATTCTCATTTCAGTAGGAGCCAGGACTGGACTATTTCTATACAAAAAACACTCCACTGTGGCTGAAAACTGCCTGGGATACATGTTTGTGTGTATAAATAACTAATTTATTTGTAGGTAAACCACACACTGATTCAGTTCAAGCCAACAATGCTTTTTGTCAGAATAAGTTGAATGATAAGAATATACATGACTGCGCTGTATGCTGGAGTGCATTTTCAATGTGTTTCAAAGCAAACTCAAGTGCTGCTTGGAACAGGCTTCAACTTCAGTATCATTTCTCATTTACATTGCAGTTTAATGCAGAGGTCCCAATCAGGATTGGAGTGTGACTAATCCTGAATGTGTTACAAAACCACTGGGAGACATGGTTCCTGCCCCACAGAGCTTACAGTCTGTTACTTCCTTGTAAGTTATTACTTGAACTTTGGAAAGAAAACATTTGCTTAAAGAGGACTATCAATCCTTTTGCCACCTCTTTTAAAAAAAACAAGCTCTTTGTTAAAGAAATCTAACTTAAGTTGTATATCTAATTGTAGTTTGAATGATTATTTATATTACAGGAGTGCCCTGAAGCACCAAATAAGATCAGGGTAACATTGTGTTAGGTGCTGCAAATACTCATGCTAGGAATTCGTACCCCTAAGAGCTTACAATCTACCTAGACAAGGAAGTATTGAGGACCAAATTCTGCTTTCAGAAGCATGTATGTACCTACAACAAGGAAAGCATTTGTATAATTTGTTCTGAAATGCTTTACAAACAATCATTCCTCAACACACTTATGAGGCACATAAATATTTCCATATGATTTGCTCAAGGCTATCTAACAGCTTCGTGGCAGAGCCAGCAGTAGACCAGGGAATCTGGAAACTAGACATGTGAGGGTAGATTATTTGGTTTGGAATCACTAACTTTTAAGGCTCCGCAGATCTCCACTGTATCACAGTCATCCACCACGGTAATCCTGAAATTTGGGGTCTGCATTAATTCTTTAAAGATCTGCCCATGCTTTTCATTTTTGCACCCTGTGGAAGGAAGGATGGGAATTACACATTCTTTGTTACACAAGTTATAGGGTGGTCAAAACGTGTATGTTTCTAAGATACTGAAGTAGGGGGATGACTCTGAGGGAGGGGTTAGGTTTTGTAATCTGTATAACTAGACATTATTAAAGGGGGATTTGTGAACCAATACCAGTTCTTGCAGCTGGCAGCCAGTATAACCACACAAATCAAAATGCATTAGCAAAACATGCGTCCAATAACGTGTCAGGTTGTTACAGGGAGGTAGCCTCCAACACCCATCTCTGCCCAACAGGCATGGTTAGTCTGTATAATTCCAAACCTTTCCAAGTGCTGTTTTCTAGTGTATGTTTATAGTCCCTTACAGTGAAAGCACTGATTGACACACATATGCCATCAGCTCACACAGCCCTGCCCAAGGGCTACGGCAGCCTGAGCACTGGGTTGAGTTAAACTCCTTAGCTCTAATCCTGGCTCAGCTGTTGACTCACGGTTTGGTTAGGGCCAAGTCACTTAACCTATTAGCAGGGTGGTGTCAGGATCAATTCATGTTTGCACATTGCTTTGAAAATGTAAAACAGCATCACTGCGAAGTATTGCTCACCCACTGGGACAAATGTCTCATAACACCAAATGCATTCCCACTTCCAGGAGGATCCATAGACAGAGATGTTCAGTATTGGCGCTGTGAGAACAGTGGTGTTACAGCCATACTGAGGTCACGTATCAGACTATTAAAACACTATCCTTTCATCTGGAGAAGGGGACGTGGCAGTTCTACTGGGAAAGCTGTGTGGGGATCTTTGAATGAGGCTTTACTTGGCTTTTGGAAAGTTGTGTTGGCCTTTGTTTTCATAAGAGCGATGTGGCCCTGACATTCAGTGGGCTGAGCAACAGCAGTTCCCATTCCAGTGGGACTTCTGGGTGCTCGGCCCCTCTGACAATTAGGCCCTATGCTGTTAAATATCAGAGCAAGCCTGAGCTGCTTCCATCCTGCAGCCCTGGTATTAGTGCTCTAGCTCAGCACTAGCTCTAAAGCCTGATTTGGATCCCTCACTCTCTTGGCAAGTTGGCATGTGGAAATACGTTGTTTCTCTGAAGTGCCGCTCTCTGGCCTGTCTAGCAGCAAAGGTAGCTCTTCTAGATGTTCTCTCCCAAACAGAAGTGGCAGAAACACTTTGAGGAAGGGCATGAGAACGAAGAGGCAAACTCCTCTGAACCTCAAAACCATCATTAAAACTTAAGCAAAGGTGCTGAACTCACCTCCAAGCCTTCAGAAAGATCTACTGCAACACTACTGCTCAGCTAATGTTCATACTGATGTCTAATAGCCTCCTCAGAGAGCAAAAGTTGCCAACATGGTATAGTTTTCACTATTAACATTACACAGGAATGGGCAGTTTGAAATTTGCACATACAATCTGAAACAGCCAATCAAGCTGCAATAAATTAAAGTTGCATTTTTAATTTTCACAATAGATTTTAAGCTAGTGTAAAAAGGTAAAGGTTAGGGAGGCCACTGAAACAGTTTGTGCTTCGGTAAGAAGCGTGAGTGTGTGTGTGTGTGTGAGAGAGAGAATAAGTGATACAATTTCAGTTACAAAGAGGTGGGAGGGTTAAGAAATTTAAACGAGGGGTTAGGAAGGGTTTGTGGGGCTGGTTGCACTTTCCTTGTAGTAGGTCAGCTGCTGAAGGACTTGACATAATCTCTTTGACATTACTAGGAGTCTCCCATTAACTCTTGGAGGAGGAGAATTGAGTCTAATTTTTTAATGGACGAGATTAGCTAATAGCTGCATCTACTAGCACATGCAGTAGTTTGAGTTTGATCCTGTTTCCATTGGAATTGTTGGAAATGTGGCCATTCCTTTAAGGGAAGGGGGTTCAGAGCTTAACATCTGGTGTATATATAAAACTGTTCAGAAACCCTTCAAAGGCTTCCATGTTTCAGTTACACATTATACTCCGTTGTTATCTTTAGATGCTGTCCTATTCCTATGCTAGGGATTGCTAGAAGTAGAAATGAATATTTGTGGTAGAACCAATCAGAGCTCTTGACTGTAACTCTCCCTGAATGATAATTACCAATGGTGGTTTCACAGAACTTCTCATCAGCCACTTCACTGGCTATATTGGCCCCCATGAGCACGCTCACTTCTATCTTCAGTTTCTCTCGAATGATGTCTGATATGAGCTTCAAGCCTTCAGCACCCTCGTCAACCCCCTGGTTAAACGATAACGTTCAAAGTCAAGTAATTAGAAAAGAAACGAGGGTGACAGAGCATCAGTGTGTGAAACGTAGGCCTCATGCAGTAAGCCCTCTGCAGGCAGTTCTCCCTACGATGTTAGTGGGAAACCTTTCAATGAAAGGCCTTAGACCCAGTGCCACAGTGCGTCACAAGGTTTTACTTTATGGTGAAGCTGCTTTTTCTTTACATGTTAAATTTCCCATAGTTGTAAAATCATTAAGTTTTCATATAATATGTTTTTAAATGTCCTAGGCAAGATTTAAACGTAACACCTATTCTAGGAAAGCGGAAACAGCCCAGCCCCGGTTCTGTTTTATATAAGGAAATAAGGCAAGGTGCATTATGCTTTCCCTCCTCTTATGTTGCTGTTTGCAGGAGAATCTTAAAAGGGAGGGAAAAGGCAACAGCTGTAGAATTGTAGGTCTGAAATTTTAATTGTATTTCCTTCAATTCATGTTTTAAATGAGACATTTTCTATAACAATTGGAAAGAAAAAGCAGTAGAATCAAAGCTGGAGGCAAACTGCAAGTTTTAAAAACCTCCTAATTTTTTTTTTTTTTTCCTTTTCAGATTACAATGTCTCCGGCTTCTTTAGCTTTTTAGCCGCCCTGATTCCAATTGCAAATCATTTTAACTCTGTAAAACCAGCTATAAATGTTGTTGTCCATGTTTTTGTGCTTTCAGAATCAGCCCTGGAAGGGGAGAGTACATGGAATAGAGCATTAAGGCTTTAAAGCTGTAGCTCTTTGGCATTTCTAGCCCCAAGTTTTCCTTAATGCATACTTATTCCTTCACTGCATACAGATTGATTGTGGAGATCACAAATTACCTTGATCAGTGAAATGCCAAATGCTCCAGGTTTTATGTGACCAACAATCTGGTCACAAATTTGTGTAATGAATTGATGGGGTATAACAAAGATGAAAATATCTGCCCCAGCCGATGCTTCAACGACATCTGCTACAGCCACCTAAAGATGAAAGTGAGGAAAAAAATTAACCATCCCTCGTACCATGAGTTTACATACTTACAAAATAATTGTACACCTAATCTGTCACAGAACGACATTAAAATAGGAATCCATAAACTAAAAATAAAGGAATCCTTAAACTAATTAATACTATGACAAAGTGTTCACCTTTAATGCAATCAGTTATTGTATTCCAGATCAAAATGTCCATGAAGGCAGCATATCCTAACTTCTTAAACCAGTGTCCCATACCTAGCCCTGTGGAGATGAGCGGGGAAGTATAATATACCCTACAGCTGCATTACCTTCTCAGAGCAGGGAAGGCCCTTCACGCCTTTTAATGTGGTTCTTAAAGGCAGCCAAGTAACCCTGGTACTACAGTTACATGGGAGCCATGCTGCCAGGGTGTGGAGGCATAGGGTCTCTCCGCAGATGACTCTGGTCACCTGTGAATGCCTCAAGATCTATGGGGTTCTGCAGGGTTTGTGGGCAGACCCCATGGCTTACCATGTTTGGGTTACTCCTCTCATCTTGATGGAATGATCAAGGAGAAACTCTGCCAGGGGATTCTTATAGTTATCCTGCCCAAGCAGGATTTACTGGAGGAGATAATGATTTTGGCCTAGTATTTCCAAAAAATTAACACAAACACTCCAAGGAGCTGGCAAGCCCTACCCTGTCCCAAGCGTAAACCATTCCAGTTGGAATTAACAACAAAACCAGGGCTCACATGACTGGAGTACTGTCATGGATGGTTATAAACTGTTCAGGAAGGACAGGCAGGGCAGAAAAGGTGGGGGAGTAGCACTGTATGTAAGGGAGCAGTATGACTGCTCAGAGCTCCGGTACGAAACTGCAGAAAAACCTGAGTGTCTCTGGATTAAGTTTAGAAGTGTGTGCAACAAGAGTGATGTAGTGGTGGGAGTCTGCTATAGACCACTGGACCAGGGGGATGAGGTAGATGAGGCTTTCTTCCGGCAGCTCACAGAAGCTACTGGATCGCATGCCCTGATTCTCATGGGTGACTTTAATTTTCCTGATATCTGCTGGGAGAGCAATACAGCGGTGCATAGACAATCCAGGAAGTTTTTGGAAAGCGTAGGGGACAATTTCCTGGCGCAAGTGCTAGAGGAGCCAACTAGGGGGGGCGCTTTTCTTGACCTGCTGCTCACAAACCGGGTAGAATTAGTGGGGGAAGCAAAAGTGGATGGGAATCTGGGAGGCAGTGACCATGAGTTGGTTGAGTTCAGGATCCTGACGCAGGGAAGAAAGGTAAGCAGCACGATACGGACCCTGGACTTCAGGAAAGCAGACTTCGACTCCCTCAGGGAACGGATGGCCAGGATCCCCTGGGGGACTAACTTGAAGGGGAAAGGAGTCCAGGAGAGCTGGCTGTATTTCAAGGAATCCCTGTTGAGGTTACAGGGACAAACCATCCCGATGAGTCGAAAGAATAGTAAATATGGCAGGCGACCAGCTTGGCTTAATGGTGAAATCTTAGCGGATCTTAAACATAAAAAAGAAGCTTACAAGAAGTGGAAGGTTGGACATATGACCAGGGAAGAGTATAAAAATATTGCTCGGGCATGTAGGAATGTTATCAGGAGGGCCAAATCGCACCTGGAGCTGCAGCTAGCCAGAGATGTCAAGAGTAACAAGAAGGGTTTCTTCAGGTATGTTGGCAACAAGAAGAAAGCCAAGGAATGTGTGGGCCCCTTACTGAATGAGGGAGGCAACCTAGTGACAGAGGATGTGGAAAAAGCTAATGAACTCAATGCTTTTTTTGCCTCTGTTTTCACTAACAAGGTCAGCTCCCAGACTGCTACGCTGGGCATCACAAAATGGGGAAGAGATGGACAGCCCTCTGTGGAGATAGAGGTGGTTAGGGACTATTTAGAAAAGCTGGACGTGCACAAGTCCATGGGGCCGGACGAGTTGCATCCGAGAGTGCTGAAGGAACTGGCGGCTGTGATTGCAGAGCCATTGGCCATTATCTTTGAAAAGTCGTGGCGAACCGGGGAAGTCCCGGATGACTGGAAAAAGGCTAATGTAGTGCCAATCTTTAAAAAAGGGAAGAAGGAGGATCCTGGGAACTACAGGCCAGTCAGCCTCACTTCAGTCCCTGGAAAAATCATGGAGCAGGTCCTCAAAGAATCAATCCTGAAGCACTTGCATGAGAGGAAAGTGATCAGGAACAGCCAGCATGGATTCACCAAGGGAAGGTCATGCCTGACTAATCTAATCGCCTTCTATGATGAGATTACTGGTTCTGTGGATGAAGGGAAAGCAGTGGATGTATTGTTTCTTGACTTTAGCAAAGCTTTCGACATGGTCTCCCACAGTATTCTTGTCAGCAAGTTAAGGAAGTATGGGCTGGATGAATGCACTACAAGGTGGGTAGAAAGCTGGCTAGATTGTCGGGCTCAACGGGTAGTTATCAATGGCTCCATGTCTAGTTGGCAGCCGGTATCAAGTGGAGTGCCCCAAGGGTCGGTCCTGGGGCCGGTTTTGTTCAATATCTTCATAAATGATCTGGAGGATGGTGTGGATTGCACTCTCAGCAAATTTGCGGATGATACTAAACTGGGAGGAGTGGTAGATACGCTGGAGGGGAGGGATAGGATACAGAAGGACCTAGACAAATTGGAGGATTGGGCCAAAAGAAATCTGATGAGGTTCAATAAGGATAAGTGCAGGGTCCTGCACTTAGGACGGAAGAACCCAATGCACAGCTACAGACTAGGGACCGAATGGCTAGGCAGCAGTTCTGCGGAAAAGGACCTAGGGGTGACAGTGGACGAGAAGCTGGATATGAGTCAGCAGTGTGCCCTTGTTGCCAAGAAGGCCAATGGCATTTTGGGATGTATAAGTAGGGGCATAGCGAGCAGATCGAGGGACGTGATCGTTCCCCTCTATTCGACATTGGTGAGGCCTCATCTGGAGTACTGTGTCCAGTTTTGGGCCCCACACTTCAAGAAGGATGTGGATAAATTGGAGAGAGTCCAGCGAAGGGCAACAAAAATGATTAGGGGTCTGGAACACATGAGTTATGAGGAGAGGCTGAGGGAGCTGGGATTGTTTAGCCTGCAGAAGAGAAGAATGAGGGGGGATTTGATAGCTGCTTTCAACTACCTGAAAGGGGGTTCCAAAGAGGATGGCTCTAGACTGTTCTCAATGGTATCAGATGACAGAACGAGGAGCAATGGTCTCAAGCTGCAGTGGGAGAGGTTTAGATTGGATATTAGGAAAAACTTTTTCACTAAGAGGGTGGTGAAACACTGGAATGCGTTACCTAGGGAGGTGGTAGAATCTCCTTCCTTAGAGGTTTTTAAGGTCAGGCTTGACAAAGCCCTGGCTGGGATGATTTAACTGGGAATTGGTCCTGCTTCGAGCAGGGGGTTGGACTAGATGACCTTCTGGGGTCCCTTCCAACCCTTATATTCTATGATTCTATGATTATAAGGAAGCTAGCAGCTGAATTTCAGTCTGCCACAGCTGCCAGTAGCTTTATTGATGATAATAATAAGAGAACATATTCCCCTAAGATGGGGGCCCTTCATCTGTGCCATAGTATAAGCTGAGCATAAATCAAACAGCACTTTTAGGTCCATAGCTAAACAAACTGCAGCTCTCCACATCAGCTCCTTCAAAGCCAAGGTGTCACATTCTTTTAAAATAACTGGCCTAACTCAGTTAGACCAATGTGAATGGGGAATTCCACTCTGTCATCGAGCATATTGGAGTGAAGTGAGCCATCAAAAACAGGACTGATTTTTAACTAATTAAAACACACCCTTCTAGCAAATTGTTCATGCACACTTCTCCAATAGCATTATCCAGCTAGGATGAACTGGGATACTTATGATCCAAGCAGTGAAGAGCTACTCATTGTTTAAATTCTACAGTGATGAGTGTGATACAAACCCCAGCATGTGAAGCGTCTCCAGTGGAGGTGACAGGGTCCCTGCTGATTATAGCATCCAGCATGTTATAAAAGGCACAAGATATGCAGGTGGGTCCAGAACTCCTAGTGGTGTTCTTCACCTTCCGGTATAATTACCTCTGCGCCTTACACTTTGTGCAGCTCTGGGACTCTTCTTTGGGGTAAATATCTGAGCTTCACCACATCACTGTAACTATTCTTCCTGCAGGAGCAAAGTAGCCTGCACACACTCCTCTCCCCACAGGGCAAGGAAATCTAGCACCTCCAGCCTGGACCGGCAGGCAGCATGAGACCAAAAGCAAGGAGCCGTGATTTCAGCAAAAAGTTAGCAGATAACAGGAAGAGATGTGGCTGCGAAGGCAGTCCAAGGCATTTAGAAGCAAGGGTGACTTCCAGTCACTGTGACCCCTGGGTAGTGGAGTTCAAAAGTGTTGCCGGAGAATGTATGTTGTGTGTATGAAGGGAATGTATGTTGCATTATGGGAATGCAAGCGGAGGACTGCTTATACGGTACAGGTTGTGCATCAACACTGCCACTGTGCTGATAGAACTATACCAGCAAGGGCTTATGTTCCTCCAAAAAGGGGAATAACTATGCTGGAAAAAGTGGAAAGTTTTGTCAATAAAAGACTAAATTAAGCATGGACACCTGCCAAGCTGTGCTGGAAAAAGGCTGGTTTAGCTGGTGCAACTTTCTAGTGTAGGTCAGGTTTTAAGGTGAGTCTGCTACAGGCAATAGGAATAAAAAACTGGCTTTTTCTCCTGTTACATTGTTGTAAAAATAAGCAAGGTTGTTCATGTCTTGCTTGGTGTTGGACCAAGGAGATCAAATCCACCTATGTCAATTTCAAGTCATGGGAGTGCAAACATGCTATTACAATACTAAATTTAGAAAAATTAACTACTCTAAGCAAGGAGGCCACTCATCTGCAGCGTGTTAATTTCTGTTTGTACGAATTAAAAGCTACTCTATAAAGGCTATGCTAGTTTCTTTACTTTCCAAAACAGGACCATATGGCAAGCTCCTGAACAAACAAAATGTCACCCTCCTTGCTTTAAATTAAGTAGCTGTAAATAGAATGATCATGTTTCTTTAAGTTTATGAAGCTATAAATTATCTAGTATGATCACACATTTCAAATGGCTGTAAAAGTTATAGTTTTTTGCTTTTGGTAGGTTTTATTGCCTTACCAATTAAAGTGCCTCAGTTTTTCTATTCTGAAATCACACACGTAATCACAGCAATGCTATTCATGCTGTTATATTCCAGAGCTGTTAGTTTTTCTATTGAACTTTTAGTTAGAAAGGGAGGGGGAGTTAAAACAACCTTAATTTTGTTTAGGGTGGACGCTATGGGCCACACACTCTGCTGGTGTAAATCAGCATCTCTCTATAAATGCTATGGAGATATGCTGACTTACAGCTGGGCAGGATCTGGGGCTTTGTGTACAAAAACACAAATTTCAGAGTAACAGCTGTGTTAGTCTGTATTCGCAAAAAGAAAAGGAGTACTTGTGGCACCTTAGAGACTAACCAATTTATTTGAGCATAAGCTTTCGTGAGCTACAGCTCACTTCATCGGATGCAAGTGAGCTGTAGCTCACGAAAGCTTATGCTCAGATAAATTGGTTAGTCTCTAAGGTGCCACAAGTACTCCTTTTCTTTTTGCAAAAACACAAATATAGCTGGTTTGTTTTGAAGTTGTTTGTCTTTAGATGAAACGTTTGTAAGCAATGCAAACAGTGGGTCAAATTCAGAAGTAATGCAAATGTTAGAGTAAGTTGGGCAGAAAAGAGATGTAAGTAATCTTAATACTTGGCATGTGTATGTAGGATGAGATAATAAATCCACAGATAAGGTCTGCAGTTAAAGCAGGATTAAAGTCCCTCTAATTCATACTTTAATGACTAACTGTAAATGATCCAAACAACAGGGATTCCATTTGAAGAATTAAGGTCTAAACAAATAACTTTAGCTTCCCCTGAGTCAACCTATTACCTCTTTCTAGTGTTAAATCCACTTTAAGGTATTTTTTAAAAGCAAACCAGGGATTGTGAAATTCTCAGTCTGGCCCACCATCAATCCTAAAGCTTTGAAAGAACATTTCCGTTGTTTAGCCAACTTACCACATTTTTAGGTAATGTATGTCCTGGAAGATACTTCACATTTTCATGATCTTTGTTTATGATCTCTGTGAGTTTCCTCCCATTTATGATTTCTTCAAACACCCACATCTTCATAACAGGATCAAACCTGTTAGATTTCTGGATATTTTTGCCAATAATTTTTGCAATAGCAGATCCCCTGTATAACAAAGTAAAATACTTAGAGACAGGATTCTGTATTTTCATTTTGAAACAATCTCCTTAGGAAAGTTGAGTAACCTTAGTTCCAACTGGAAGCACAAACTGCATTGAGCAAAATACTCCTACCTCATTGAAAGGCCTGCATTACAGAAACTATGGCCATGTTTATATGCTCACTGAGCCCAACACAAGGCTCTTCCCTCCGTCAAGAAAATACTCACTAGAGATATACAGAAAATGGATACCAAGTAAAATACAGTTGTGGCCAGAAATCCAGGGTAAATATAAGCATGATGTAGCATGTTACATCTTGTTTTTAATTTAGAACTTCGAATAATATTTTTTGTTTCTCAGATACTTTTCTTAACTTCTTTAAAAAAAAAAAAAGTAGAGTAACTCAAGCGAGAAGATGCTGCTGAGCAATCTGGATGCACTGAAGTCTGTGCATCTTACCTGAAATGTATCAAACTTTCCTATCAATAGCCGCATTCCAGGAGGGGCCTGCCTGAGTGATGGTCTAACTTAGCTAAATGGACACTATTAGGTTAAAAATCACTCTTAAAGTCTAACAGTGTGACAAACAAGACCTTAAATGGTTAAAACCTGAAACAACTGAAGTCATCTGTTTACTTTGCATCATTCATGCTGTGCATTTACTTGCTTTTCTGTCAGCTTAGACCATTGGTTGTCAACCTGCAGCCAGTAGGCCCGCTAGCAGCCCAATCAGCACACAGCTGCAGCCCATGTGACCTCCTCGTGGCCATACAGACAGTGTGGATGCGTCCCACATAACACATATGTGGCCCACAATGGTAAATAGGTTCAGAACCACTGGCAGAGACAGTGAAATTAGACTAGTCATTTTCCCTGATTTCATTTTCTCATGCACCAGCACAATACTGCCATGTCTGAGTTATGAACACTGCAGGAAAAATATTTAAATTAAACAAAAAACTTGATTTAACTGTAGAAGACGACCATGAAAATACTGGTTAGTGGTCTTTAAATTTTAAGAAAGAACTTAAAATTTTGAGGCTACTTTGACTTTTAAGGACCTGTCCACACTACAAATACAACTTTTGAGTCAGAGGATCTGGTTACAATACTCTTGTCCCCTGACCCAGTTACAACACAGCTACAATTAGAAGCATGAACAGACCATAATTTGTGTGTTAGACAGTTATCTGTAACTGATAAAACCTTGGGTTTATCCAAGGTTAAGTCCAATTAGATGGTGTCCAAACAACAAGTCATAACTGCTTTGCAACTGGGACAGAGGGAAACCATGTTGTAACTGCCTCCCTTCACTCAAATACAGTAGTGACTTAAATCAGCTTGCTCAATAAGCAATAACAGAATAGGGGCCCCTATCTTACTGTCTTTATTCATTCAAAAGTCCCACTGAAGTCAATGGGCATTTTGCCTGAGTCCTGGGCGCAGGGCAGGTGCCAAGGTATGCAGTGGTACCAGGCTACCCAAAGACCATGGGGGTGTTGTGAGGCCTTGTATAATGAAGGCAATTGTTTATTTTTGTAAGCCATTCACAAATGTAAAGTATATAGGTAAAAATTTCAGGTGGAAATCTTCATTAAAGGGGCATAAGAATTCTCTTTGTGAAACAGATGGGGCCTACCATATTTAATACTACATTTATACCTAATTTATAGTTCAGTTCTTGGCTCCTCCCATTAGAATGGGATACGAAGGAGGGCGATGGTTTGTGGAAGAACACAGTGACTATGCATTGGGGAGAAAGGTTGCTTTTGTGGTAAAGGCACTGGCCTGGGACTCTGGAGATCAGGGGTTCCTGGTTCTGCCACGCACTTTCTCTGGGACCCTGGATCAATGATTTAATCTCTCTGTTCCCAATCTCTAAAATGAGGATAACAACGTTCTTCCCCTCCCTCCCATCCTTCATCGGTCTTATAAACCCTTGGGAGCTGGACTGTCTCTTACCAAATGCGTACTCAGTATCAAGTACAATACAGAGGCCCAGATCTCATCTGGAGCCTCTCTGGGTGCTACTGTAACATAAAAAGTTGGCCTGATTTTCAAAGCTACTGAGCATCCACAGCTTCTGTTGATTTCAATGGGAACTAGAGATGGTTGGCATCTTTGCAAATCAGGCCAACAAAGGCAAATCTAAAATTACTGAAGTATAAAAACATGATGCTGATTATTTCGGCTACCAGCTAAGGAGTGCCAAATGTTAAGAGAAACTGCTTGTTCTGGCCTTTAAGCAATCCAAGCTCATTTTTTAAAATTGAAAGATAGGCACCCACACACTATAACCTCCCTTTAAAATGTTTAATAGCTTACGATGGACTGGCAGCTCTCAGAGAACCAGACTGCTTTTCCAGCAGAGCCTTCATAGCTCATGTTCCCAGGTGCTGCTGGGACACAGTTTTGAAACTGACAAGACTGGAACACAAAGGAATCTAGGTTACTAACTAAGCAATTTTAGAAAAATCTGAGGCAGTGTTCAGCAGTCAGCAGGAAAAGATTCTCACTGTGAATTAATGGGAGACTCGCACATGAACAAAGAGTTCAAAAACTGGTGCTCTATGTTACCTAACCTATTTGAAATTCATAGTTCAGCACTAACCAGCCTTTGGAAAGAATTGCTTTATCTGTGAAGCCAGTGTTTAGTAGACTATAGGAGCATGGCAGGGAAGGTTCACATATGCAAACAAAGCCAAGGGACACTCCCCCATAAACAACATTTTACCTCATTTATTCTCCAAAGGTCAATTTATTAAGGATAATAGAAGGCTGTCCTTTTTAATTAGATACCGATTAAAGCGTCGACAGAAACCCAATTTATAAAAAAATCAACAACAACAAATAGTTTTTCCTGCTAATTCTTAAAACAATTTCCTCCAGGATAGATGAATAATAGTAGTAATATGCTTCAAGTGCTGGCTCTCAGTATTAATGGACCATAGAACTTTTGGTGGCAGTGTTCTGGCTGAAGTCAGTGACAACTCTACCAGTAACTTCAATAGAAGCAGGGTCAATCCCCAGAGGAGCCAGATGACTCATTAATATTAGAGTAGTGTCTTTCTCTTTAATTTGTATTGCAGTAGGATCCAGGAATTCCAGTCATGTATGAAAGCCCCATTGTGTGAGGCTTTGTATAAACACAGAACAAAAAGACAGCCCCTGCCCTGAGCAATTTATAATCTATAGGGTTTGGCTACCTGGGGAAGTTATACCAGTTTGAGCTAGGCTTTGAACTACTATAATTTATAGGTATATGGGTATAACGCCCCATGGGGGTGGACACACTTATTCTGGAATAAGAGTGGTTTTTTTCAAGTTTAGCCTATGTCACTCTGAAAGTGGTTTATGCTAAACTTGAAGAAAACACTCTCATTCCAGAATAAATGTGTCCAGATATGGGGTTGTACTGGTGGAATTATAGAGGTTTAATTATACTGGTATAACTGGAACAATCTACCCAGGTTTTCTACAGGAGAGACAAGTAACATTTCACACACACACATGCACAGAGAGAGACAGTGTGTGTCCCCTCTACATTAAATAGACACTTGCTCCTCTACTAATAAATGCTCAGTCTTGTAAAATAGTGAGCACCCCCAACTCCTACCGAAGTCAATGGGAGTGGAAGGCATTCAGCATCTTGGAGGATCAGGCCCCCAGATACTGTAATTTAGAAATTAATCTATATTTTTTAAACAAATAGCAGAACCATTACTAACTAACAAAACCTATTGCTCCTCTGGTTTGGCACGTAATTTATATAATCAAATCAGCTGTAAGGCTTCCGATACTGTTGGCATAATAAGGATCACTGTGACTCACTGGGCAGCTGGGAGAAGCCGTTGAAACATTTGTGTCATGTGTCAACTGTCTTGCTGAGACTCAGAAATGATCCCTGAACTGTTACCTAAATATCTAGTTTGAGGGCAACTGAAGGAAAGATGAGTCAGCTAGAAGTAAACATTCCACTGTTATGTCTGCTTTTTAAAGAAACACTGTTCCAACTTTGACAAGCTCAAAAAACACCCTTTCCCCCAAATAAAAATGATTTTTTTCTACTTTAAAATGTGTTTCCACCAGCTGCAACTTCCCTAAGCCACCCAGCTCCTGGCTTAAACAATCCAAAGAACCACTGGGAGATCTGTATCACACACACACAGAAGTGTGCATGCCATGCTGTTCAGTCATACTCTGCTCTTATAGTCCAGAAGGAAAGCAAACTCCAAAGTTCACTGAACTTAGAGGAAAGAGAGCTACTGAAATCTACTCCTCTAAGTAGAAACACCCACAGTGCTTTCCAGAGCAATGTTCTTGCCCATTTCAACATCCTCCTGATTCACAACAATGGGGAGAGCAGAATGGTAGCACAATATTCACTCATATGATGGTAGCAAACCCAGGACCCATTTAAGGCTGAATTCTCACAGAAATGTGAAACCGTATCAGCACCTTTCTGGAGAACAGTGGATTCTGGGAAAGGTGCTAAAATACTTCAAAGGAAAATGCAAATACTGTATTAAATCTCTGTGTGGGTATGGTGTTAAATGAAGGCTGCCCTGGTGTTAGTCCTAGCCCCTTCATGTAAGGAGCACATACAAGGCGTACTGACCTTTTGCTCTCCTTCTGAGCCAGACGGGGGATGAAATGAGATGGCCTGATCCTGCAAGTTGCTGAGAACCTTCAGCTCCCATTGAAGGCAAGTGGTGCTCAGCTTCTCTGAGGACCAAGCCCTAAAATGCTTTGATAATACTTAGCACGTTGGGATTTTCCTCTATAAATATTCGAGCGTGCTACAAAGGTGAGTAAATATCAATAACCCCAAGGTGGAGAATTGGAGGCACAGAGTGACAAAGTGATTTGCCTCAAGCCACTAAATTCCTGGCAGTGCTGTGAGTGCAATGGAGGCCTCCTGCCTTCCAGTCTGGTCTGGTGCAATAGACCACAGTTAACAAGAATTTAGAGTGAATAAAGGGGCAGGGTGACACACATAAACCTATTGTATACAATTGCAGCAAACTCAGTGTCCAGATAGTGGTTTGGGATGCTTAGGCCAGGAGCTGGAAATTTAACACTGGGCAGCCCTCCATAGTTAGAGCTGCAACAATGTTATTCCCTTGGGGTACAAGGATAGGGACGTATATCGATATTAAAATGCACAATGTAATTTGTTTTGCTGCAGGGGGTTAAATTTTCAAAATCACCTTGTTCCCTTTCCAAAGGTGAATTAGGTGTTTAGGAGCCCATATCCTATCGACTGAAAATGGGATTTGAGCTTCTCAGTTACTCAGGCGCTTTTCAAAATCTGACTTGTCATCTCTAGGGTGAGACAGAGTTCCTTTAAAATAGAGATGTTACATAATGTGTATCTTGGAGAGACATTCCTTTCCCTAATGCCCAAACTGGATATTAAGATAATAGTTCAGAGATCTGCATTTGAATATACATGCACTGTTCTTCAGAAAACATGGTTTCAAATCCCAGTGTAAACAAGACCTAACGGAAGAAACTCTGTGTTCTCTAGCAGCAGGGTGTGGAGATGGCAGAGAAATATTTTAAAACGAGTGTACATGCTAGTGAGAGGTATCAGATTTCAGACCTGGCCATCAGGGTTTGAACTGTGCCAGTACAGGGTGCTACATCTTTCAACTCTTCTCTGGGGACACCATCAGCTTTTGCAGAATTTAAGCTTTCAGTTTAAAGATGATTGTGAAGATAATGACCAGAATTCTCATCCAATGCTGTCTTACTAAGTCTGCAGATAATAATACTCAACTCTGAAGGACTACCCTGAAATTCCATTCATCTCAGGATGTTTACTCTGAAACCTAATGATTTAAATTTAAAATTTAAACATTATTTCTCTGTGATCTTTTTAGCAGGAACAGCTTGGAATTCTGGGATTTCTGGAGTCTTAGTAGTGTATCCCCATTTTTCCCCACTGTGAACCATGCTCTCAAATTTATGTCCCTTTTTAGTGTAGAACTTCTTGAAATCTGTGTAAAGAACCAGTTCATTATTCTGAGCACATATTTTGAGAGACTGAACTCCCTCACTGGGAACAGAAGGCAAAATAATTCCTTACAGAGGCCCAATTCTGCACATATGCTGATCCAGATTCTGAAGTCAATGGAAGTATTGTGTTGTATAATAGCTGTAGAATCAGGACCCTCATGTTCTCTTTCAGTAGGAGACATAAGGATCCCTGCAATAATTTACTGAGGAATATAGCTGGATCCCTGCAATAATTTACTGAGGAATATAGCCCAAAAAACCAAAAAAACACCGATCCTTCAACTGAGGAGAGAAAGAACTGTTTACCAAAGCCAAAGGGAGAGTAGAGAAGCTGGCTATCCCTCTAGCAAATTGCATGTACTTGCCATTTCCAGGCAGAGGTAACAATACTAACTATCAAAGCGGGAGAAATTTAATCTGCATTCAGTGGCAGTTCATTACCTGAAAGTTACAAAAAGAAGAGTACATGTGAAGATGGGTGAGCATGAGGTTATTTCACAGTCAGTCTGGGGACTGGGGCACATGTAAGACACTACAGACTCTCCTGGATCTCCATGGAATCCTCCTCCTCTTGCCTCTCCACCAAAGAGGTACAAGGCTCAGAGTAGTCACTTTCTACCTTTAGGTTTCAGTATGCATTTTACAGGAGCAGCCACGTGTCTGCCATGTGACATGCTTCCCCTCATAGAACAGTCGAGTGGAGAGGGCACTGGATGAGTTATCAGCTGACTTGGACTCTGGTCCCAATCCTGCCACTTACTCTATATGATCTAGGGCAAGCCATATAAGCTCTGTAGCTACCTAGTTTCCCCATCTTAAAAAATGGGGATAATACTGATGCACCTCTGCAAAGCTTTGAGATGTATGCATGAAAATGCTGCTAGTTCTTACTAATAAGTACCTGGTGTTTCATATTTCTATTGTTTTTTCTCCTATTCTTAGTGGCATGTGTTCCTCTTCCATGAGCCACCAGCTTCTGATGGGCGTGTACCCCTGATGTAGGAATTCCAAGAACTCTCCTCTGGACTACCATTGGGTTCTCCTAGCACCCAACTGTAAAATCCTAAAACTAAAGGTAAAAAACAGCTTCTTCCACTAGTCACAGGCTTTCTGCCTATGTCCCATTGCTCATTATTATTTCACATTTATATTACAGCAGTCCCTAGAGTCCAACCAGGTTGGGTCCCTGTTGTGCTGAACACTGTACCAGCATCTAGCAAACGTAAGTCCCTGCCACAAAGAGCTTACAGTCTGAGATGAGACTTAACAGGTGGAGGAGCCAAACAAGGAGGTCAGGCTAGGGGACCAGGTAGAAAAAGTAACAAAACTAATAGATGCACAGAGCTCTTAGCCAAGCAAGACCAATGATCTTGTATGGTTCACTAGGAATGTTTTAGGACCACAGGTTCCTGGCTTTCCTATCAATAGACACATTCCAGGAGGAGCCTGCTTGAGGAGTGGTCTAGCTTAGTTAAAGGGACACTATCAGGTTAAAAATCATGCTTAAAATATAACGGTGTGACAAACAAGACCTTAGATGATTAAAACCTGAAACAATTGAAGTCATCTGTTTTACTTTTCATATCTTTTTCTGGCATTTACAGCCCAATCCTGATTCCTTTTTTCCCCCAATCCAAATATTTCACTGACTTCAAGGGCCCTGGGGCTCCAGGCTGGGAGATGCTAAGAACCTCTTGTAAAGTCCTGAGTACCCCCTTCACTCACTGTCTCTAGTAGCTATTAGGAGTGCTCAGCACCTCTCAAGGTGAACTCAGCCTGTCAACTGGGAGTTCGCAGACTTTTAAATACATCCAAATTTTTGCTCTGCTACAGGCTTCTGCTTCAGGACTAGCTGCACTGACTTCAGTGGAGTTAATCCGGACTCACATTAGCATGGGGCAGTATGTGGTTTTGCAAAGGTAGAAATTGCTTAAATATGCTGCCGGCCGGTACCTACACCCCAATAAAACCATCTCGGGTGCCACTTTTTTGTGGTGACTAAAATTGCTCGGTTTTGTGTAAAAACACAATCATTCGCTTCTGCTCCCTGAGAAGGGGAGTCGGAAGTGGGAGGCAGGAGCTGGCTGCGGATTGCCTGGGAGAAGGGGCTGAGTTCGCTGCAGCCTGGCTGTAACGGACTGAGCTCCCTGGCCCCCCAGACCCCAGCCAATAGACACAATCTCTCTTGCAGCTGAATGAGTCTCAAGCACTGAAGTCTCTGCTCCTCGGCCCGCGCCCTCCACGGAAGAGAGAGGCGCTCTCAGCTACCCCTGCGCTGCAATCCCCTCTCCCTTCCAGCCCCAAGAGACAGAGCCCAGCTGAGCGCTACGGACAGCACCGAGATCCCGGGGCAAAGCTAGAGCCCAGCGCGGCCCCACCACAGGTCCCGGGCTCCAGGCGGCACTCACCAGTTCCCAGACCCCACGATGCAGACTTTCAGAGGAGGCATGGTGGCTCACGCGCCCTGGGGCAGGGGCTGGTGCTGTCTCCGATGTCACCGACCAGAAAACCAGTTGCGCAGCAGCAGCAGCAGCTTGGTGCCTCCAAGTTGCCCAATCTTCCGCCTGTCAGTGTGTGTGGCCGGGGGAGGGAGGTTTGAACACTCCCCAGCGTGCAAGTCCCGCCCGCGCCCTCAGCTCCCGCTCGCCGGCTGCTCCCCCAGGTGTCCGCCGAAGGATGCTGCCCCTGGAGACCAATGGGAGAGAGCAGGGGCCAGTGAGCGACAGGGCGGCGTGCTGCCGAGGTGGCGCCTACCTTTGTCCCCGGGGCTGGGCGGGAAGGGAGGGAAAGGCAGGGGCTGGAGGAAGGCAAATGTCACAAGTTCGAAACGCCACTGTGCAAAGCAGGTGCCGTGTGCCGCCCACCCGGGGGGACCCTCCCTGCTTAACCCTTTCATGGCTGAACATCTTCGCTACCCCATCCACAGTGCGCCACCACAGCACGGGTCTCACGGGGTTACGTTCAGCAAAATCCAGGATTAAAGTCCACGCCTAACTCCGCCTCCCCGAGCCCCGTTATGGGCAGGCGCCGGAGCGATCACCCGAAATGGCAGAGACAGGACAAGAGGCGCTGTAAAGCCCAGGCGAAGGGCAGAAGATAGTGTTATGATAGCCTGGGACCGACGGGGCTGCAACCCCGCTGCAAAGTATTTATAACACCCTTTCTTTGCATGCCCATAGCCTCTCTTAGGCAGGGGGCACAAAGCCCTCTAGAAGAGCCATCCCTTAAGACAGGCCTTGTCTAAACAGGAAGGGTCTACCACTACAGTTATACATGGAGAGCTGTATCCCTATAACCCGCCGTGGGGACATACTCCTGGATAAGAGTGGCTTTTTTACTGTTAGCATAAAACCTTTCCCAAGCAAGGTAAGCCAAACCAAGAAAAGCCACTGTTATTTTAGACTTAGACCACCCACTGATATAGCTGTTTAAATTCATACCTTAAATTATGCCAGAAAACTTTCCCATGTAAACAACGCCTTAGTCTTGTAACCCCCATTATACAGTGGGTCAGCGTCATCTTTATTTTCTAGGTAGGGAAACTGAGGCACCGAACGATTCGGTGACTTGTTGAAGGTTGGGCATGCGGAGGCAGTGGCGGAGCCCAGGCATCCAGAACAAGTCCCCTAGTCTACCCAATAGTGCCTTTATGTCATGACCACCTGTGACCTTGCCTAAAATTGCCACACAGTTACCTCTCGAACCTCCTGCACCCACCTGTCTCTCCCTCACGTGCTTTGTCATTCGCTGACTCCTGCAAGCTCTCTGCTTCATCCTCTCTCTCTCTCTCTCTCTCTCTCCCCCTCTCTGTCATCTCCATGACTTTTCATATTTCCCAGTGTTCTGCCACAGTCCTGTGCTTCCCCGTCGTGCAGGGGACTGCGGGCTTGCTCACGGTGTGACAGCATATGCTGCCTTTGCAGCAGGATCCTGAGTCAGTGAGTTTCTGGCTCTGTGTGCTGAGGAGGGCTGCCACAATGACTCACAGAGGGAAGACAGGCTGCCAACACCTGACAGGCCTGTGGGTGGTCTGTGAGGTACCCATGTGCTCAGCCAGCCCACCTGTCAGTGTCACCAGTTCAAATGGCTGGTGGCCTCCTTCAGGTGACCTGCGTCTGTTTGGGGTTACAAACCAGGACAAACTCTAGACTTTGCAAAACTGACCAGGGAGGTGTCCCTGACACCTGGCCACCCTTTCTTGTACACAGGTGTGTAACACTATTATTGCTGTATTGTCGAGGCCCCATGCACGTTCTCCGTTCCGGGCTGACTGGGAATACACCTACACAGCACCTGGGAGGTGTAATTCCCAGCGCAGGCAGCCACGCCTGCACCAGCTCTGCGTGAGCTAGCACCTAACAGTAGCCCAGCCGCCCAAGTGCGTGCCCAGGAGGTGGGGTGGGATTGTACTTGGGTAGCTGGTCCAAGCTGTTCCCTGCACTGTCCCAGCCACACGGCTACGTTTAGGCACTAGCTTGAGCAGAGGTCGGGTGCGTATGGCTACCCACGCTAGGAATTCCACCTCCCTCCCACTACTAGCGTGTAGACATACCCTGGGTGTTTGCTCCAACTCCCTCCTGCTCCCTGCCTTTCCGTCTCTTCACTTCAGCTTTACTCCATGCCTGCAGCTCAGATCATTCTCCCCTCCCTCTTCTCATTTGCCCTGTCCCCTTCATCCTTCTCCCTTCCCTTGTCTTTCCATTTAGTTTATCCCCTCCTAACTAACCCACATACCCCAACACACCGTGGACCTAAATATTTGCTGCCATCACATTGTTCACTCTGCTTGTGTGATCCCTTTCCCCAACCTGTGTCCATCATGTCTATTAGACTCAAAGGCCTTCAGGGCAGGTACTGTCTACTGCTCTGTGTTTGTAAAGTTGCTAGCACAACGGGGCCCTGATTTCGGGAGCTTCCCAGGCACTAAGATAAAAAAATAGCATTCTCTGTAACAAGCTGGATCTAAAGTGTGCAACTGTTAGCAAACATTAATCTTTCATTATTCTTTTTATATGAAACTCTCATGATTACTTGACCAAAAACCCCAGAATCATTTCTGTCAGCCAAAGGTTCTGGCTAAACTCTGAAGAGGGTTTTCTTTTGGATACATGAATGTCTTTGTCATAGTAAGCCTGTCTGTTATTATCCACTCTGTACTCTGAACTTTAGCGAACCCTAGTGTGTTATGAATACGCAGAACTTTAGCTGGACTATAGTATGTTATTAAATAATAGATTGCGTGTCTTTTGTACTGTAAACTCTTGACTCTTGGGGAAATGTCCGGATATCCAGAAAGGAACTACTTATAACTGATATGGGGCAGGTGCTTTCTGTAACCAGTAAGATAATAATCTATTGAAGGATGCTTTTAGCTTATCAGTAACTACTCTACCAGATTGTTTCTGTCATAGTGACTTGGTTATAGATATTTTTGCAATTGATAAAATAGTGGCTGGTTGAACTGATGTCTTTAGCTTATCAGGTATGTAAAACAGATACCATGAAAAGAAGTCCTCAGTCAATAGTTCATGTTCTTGGTCTCTTTTCTGTGAACATACATAGTATATAAAGAGATGGCTGTTCTAGATGTATGCTGTAATGGACAAAATGGTGTAATTGAAAAGGGATGCTCATAAGTGCTCTGTAATTGATAAACTTGTAATTGACAAAATAGGCTAGGAGATGTGTTCTATAATCAATGTCTCAGCAAAACATTAAGGTATGGGTTAATGTCTAAGCATTAAGAGCTAACCATGGTCCTAGCAGTGATAAATTAATTACAAATATCATTGGCTTATTGATTCAAAATAAGATCAAACATGAGAGGACTTTTCTTTGTTCTGAACAGTCTACAAGAGGTGAGTTTCAGGGAGCTTGTCTGAAGGGAACTCAGGTAGGCTGCCTCACTTCTCTACTCTTAGATTTAGTATGTATGTTTCCTTTGCTATATTCTGTATAGTACTGCATTAAGTATTGATTGATGGTCTGTCTTAACTAATTCAGTTGAAGTTTTATTTATTTGACATCATGACTTATTAAATCTGAACCTGCAACATAACAAATTCCCTAGTTTATGTGGCACTCTGGTGCAGCAAACTGGAAATTCTGTGACAGCTTCATTTAAATTAAAAAGGTAACAGCTTTGAATTAACTATAAAAATGAATAATTCAATCAGTCCAGTAGCCCCTATGTTTATGCTGCATACATTTCAGTTTGCAATAGGCTGCTGATTCAGCAGATTCATGGGAACTGTCAGGGAGGAACCTGGAGGTTTTGGCGGCTAGATAGGGGACAACTGGATCCTCCAGCACCTGGGAAGACATGGGGTGGCAGTCTGGGATTGGGGGGTAAACACATTAGTTGCATGCTACTGCTGAAGTTATCAGCTTGTGAAATACTTCACTGTCTTGACATCTGAATTGTCATCTTTTGACTGTGATGTCACCAATCCACCGAGGTGATCAGGACCATTTACAGTTCAGAACTATTGTTTCAGACTGTCTGCAGACAGCACTGCATCAGTTTACACCTTGTTCACATTTGAAAGATTATCTTAATGGAAGGCTTAGATTCCAGACTGCAGCAAGAGGTGGGTGCTGTAGCAAATTCTACAGTCATGGAATTGCAGACCACAGAGATAGTAGTTGTTATTTTATGAGGTAAGATGAAGGCTCTTTTATTGAATGGAATTATATCAAATCCAGAAAGGCTATTTTAACACAAGCGCACACACCGCAAACATAAGTCACTGGGCCATTACGTAGATAAAAGCTCAGTCTGTTTAACAAAGTGAAGACAGAGACTAAACTCCCAAGGCCTCCTCTGCCACACCTCTTCCAATCAGACCCAGTCCCACTGGAAATCAATTGTGCATCTTCTAAACAGCCATACTTTACAAAGGCAACAGCATCTTATATGGAGCTGAGGTCTTAACAGCTGCTACAAAAGTAACAGGTCCTATTTAATTGTAATGATACATGTCTAGGAGAAGTTGGAGAGGTAAGGGGAATCTCCCAGATGAGAAAAGAAAAGGAGTACTTGTGGCTTTTCTTTTTGCAAATACAGACTAACACGGCTGTTACTCTGAAACCTCCCAGATGAGACTCCCTGAAGCTAGCATAGGCCTTTTCCTACATTCTCTCACTGTCATGCTACCATCAGTGTAGCCCCACCAGTGGTTTCTACAAGATATGAGGAGTCCGGTGGCACCTTAAAGACTATCAGATTTATTTGTCTTTAAGGTGCCACCGGACTCCTCATTGTTTTTGTGGATACAGACTAACATGGCTACCCCTCTGATACTAAAAGATACGCTCTAGCTCAGCCAGAAGATATGGGCTTGATGTAGGAATCATTGGGTGAGGTTCTATGGCCTATGTTATGCAGGAGGTCAGACTGGATGATCACAATGGTCCCTTCTGACCTTAAAATCTGTGAATCAGTGGAAACAGCCCTGCTAGTGTAGACTATTCTGTGGTCTCTTTAGCACTACTCTGAACAGGGTTAAACAATGCAGTCGTGAAATACCTCCATATCTGTGTCTTCTCTATATCAGTGCTCCAGCCACTGATGCAGGAAGAGCTGCAGTAGTGAGAGATTTTTAGAAAAATGCCAGGGCAGACAAGGTCACATAGTGTAGGTAAGTTCAAAGTAAAGCTGTGTTGCTATATTCTTTCCCCTCCAATCCTACGATCATAGGACTGGAAGGGACCTCAAGAGGTCATCTAGTCCAGTCCCCTGACTCATGGCAGGACTAAGTATTATCCAGATCATCCTTGACAGGTGTTTGTCTAACCTGCTCTTAAAAATCTCCAGTGATGGAGATTCCACAACCTCCCTAGGCAATTTATTCCAGTGCTTAACCACTCTGGCAGTTAGGAAGTTTTCCCTAATGACCAACCTAACCCTCCCTTGCTGCA